CTAACTTTGTGATCTGCCCGCCTCGGCCTCCCAAAGTGCTGGGATTACAGCTTCGAGCCACCACGCCTGACCCATCTTTTTTTTTTTTTTTTTTTTAAGAGACAGAGCCTCACTCTGTCACTCAGGCTGGAGTGCAGTGTGCAGTGGTAGCAACATAGCCCACTGCAGCCTGAATTCCTGGGTTCAAGCGGTTCTCCCACTTCAGCCTCCCTAGTAGCTGGGACCACAGGTGCATGCCACCGTGCCTGGCTAAGTTTTGTATTTTTTTGTAGAGACAGGGTTTTGCCATGTTTACCAGGCTGGTCTCAAACTCTTGGGCTCAAGTGATCCTCCCACCTCAGCCTCCCAACGTGCTGGAATTATAGGCATGAGCCACCATGCCTAGCTTATTTTTTTATTTTTTGTAGAGATGGGGGTCTTGCTGTGTTATCCAGGTTGGTCTCAAACTCCTGGGCTCAAGCAGTCCTCCTGCAGTGGCCCTCCAAGGTGCTGGGATGGCAGGCCCGAGTCACCACTCCTGGCCTCCGTCACTGCTTGTACGAAGCACTGCCTGTGGTCAGTGGTAGGATTGCACCGTGTGTTCTGTTTGGCACCGTTTTTGCACTCAACTGTGTATCTTGAAGACAATGCCAGAACATCAGTCAGCCTTCTTTTTTTTCACAGCTGGCTACTATTCCATCTCCCCTATTTGGACAGACAGCACAGTGTTGACCCGAGGTTCTGGAAGCAGGGCCCGCCATTGGGGTTCTGTACGGTGACAGATCTCCCCAGTGACAGCTCTGCAGTGGGCCTGGGGTTTTCCTGCCCTTTGCTCTCCTCCCAGCATGTCAGCTCATTCAGAACAGTGATTTCTGTCTTTCGGGGTCACTGCTGATTCCCGGGCCCCTGGAATAGAGGTTGGCACACAGCAGGTACCCATGGATATTGGTTGAACAAATAGGTGGGCAAAGTGAGGAAGATAAGAAGCCCACCCATTCATTTTCCCCACGTCAGAGGGAGTAACACTGTCTTTCCACAGGTCACAGACTGGGATGAGCAGCGGGCTGATGGCACTTTTCCCGGGAAGATCTGAACTGGCTGCACCACCCTCTCCTGCATCCTCTGTCCTTCTCCCAGGGTGGTAAAGGGAGACCTAGTACCCAGTGATCCCTACCCCGGGATCCTAAATCATGACTTAACTGCTAATAAAAACTCGTTGGAAAAATGAGACTGTACATGTGAATGAGCTGGGCAGTTGCACAAGAAGCTGGCTGGAATCAGTGCTCTGACCAAGAAGGGGATCCAGTGAATATTTTTTCTGTTTTGTTTTTGAACTTTAACTTTTTTTTTTTTTAATAGAGGTGAGGTTTCACCATGTTGGTCAGGCTGGTCTTGAACTCCTGACCTTGTGATCCGCCCACCTCAGCCTCCCAAAGTGCTGGGATTACAGGCGTGAGCCACCATGCCCAGCCAAATTTAATTTAATTTTTTTAAAAAAATCAGTCCAGGCTGGAGTGCAGTGGTGCGATCTTAGTTCACTGCAGCCTCCGCCCCCCAGGTTCAAGCAATTCTCCCACCTCCGTCTCTCAAGTAGCTGCAATTATAGGGGCATGCCACCACACCCGGCTATTTTTTGCATTTTTAGTAGAGACAGGGTTTCACCATGTTGAATATTGTATTTTCTTTTTAATAGAGACAGGGATTTTCCATGTTGGCCTGGCTGGTCTCGAATTCCTGACCTCAGGTGATCCACCAGCCTCAGCCTCCCAAAGAGCTTGGATTACAGGCATGAACCACTGCCTGTGCAGTAAAGAGCTCCTGGCCAGGCACGATGGTTTACACCTGTCCCAGCACTTTGGGAGGCAGAGGTGGGCGGATCACTTGAGGTTGTGAGTTCGAGACCAGCCTGACCACATGGAAAAACCCCCTCTCTACTAAAAAGAGAATACAAAATTAGCAGGTTGTGTGTACAATTGTCAACAAATGACCAATCTGTTTTATCTCTAATGCTCACTCCCCCCTCCACCACCGTACATCATTTTAAAGCTAATCCTGGAGATTATATTTTATCCAGAAATAAGTAACTATATGTATCTCTTGGAGATACCTATTTATTTTTTATTTTTTGAGATGGAGTCTTGCTCTGTTGCCCAGGCTGGAGTGCAGTGGCGTCATCTCAGCTCTCTGCAACCTCCGCCTCCTGGGTTCAAACTACTCTCCAGCCTCCAGATACCTGTTTGTTTTTTTTCCCCAGGCTGGAGTGCAGTGGCATGATCTCAGCTCTCTGCAGCCTCCACCTCCCAGGTTCAAGCAATTCTCCTGCCTCAGCCTCCTGAGTGGCTGGGATTGCAGGCGCCCGCCACCACACCTGGCTAATTTTTGTACTTTTAGTTGAGACAAGATTTCGTCATGTTGGCCAGGTTGGTCTCCCAACTTCTGACCTTAGATGATCTGCCCACCTCAGCCTCCCAGAGTGCTGGGATTACAGGCATGAGGCACTGCACCCGGCCAACACAAATTTCAAATGAAATAGGACAGCCAGTAAAGTCAAGGTGCTAAACTCCCTGTGTCCAGCCACCCAGTTCTGCCCAGGGGCTGCCACCCATGCCAATGCTTCCTGTACATTCCTTTAGAGATAGCCCTTGCATCTAGAAGTATTTGTAAATATATTGATCTGATTTGATCTGGTGCCTATTGACTCCCTGATCTATTTCCGTTTGCTCACACAGTCCCTGCCACACTGGCCTCTTTAGTGTGCAGAAACTCTGTGAGCAAATGAAGTATTTCGTCACACCAGGCTGGCTCCAGCCCGAGTCCTTTACCCTTGCTGTTTACTCGGCCTGTAATGTTTGTCCACCAGCTGCCCACAGGCTCACCCCCTCACCACCTTCAGGTCTTCATTTCGCGAGGCCTTGCCTGACCACTCAGCCTACAACTTCAGCTCCTCCCACTTTGTGCCCCTTCATTCCTTTTGTTTCTTAAGCACTTACCACTAATATGCCAAGTATCCTTCATCATGGCACCACTGGAATATAATTTCCATGCGGGCAGATCTGAAAATGGATATTTAGGATGCGGTGGCTCACGCCTGTAATCCCAGCACTTTGGGAGGGCGAGGTGGGCAGATCACCTGAGGTCAGGAGTTTGAGACCAGCCTAACTAACATGAAGAAACCCTGTCTCTACTAAAAATACAAAATATTAGCCGGGAATGGTGGTGCATGCCTGTAATCCCAGCTACTCAGGAGGCCAAGGCAGGAGAATCGCTTGAATCTGGAAGGTGGAGATTGTGGTGAGCCAAGATTGTGCCATTGCACTCCAGCCTGGGCGACAGAGCGAGACTCCATCTCAAA